AAAGGATACGATAATACAGTGTTGCAAAGTTTTCAACTTATATCTGAGAAAATGTCTATTTTGTGTTATTTTATTGAAGACAAGATTGAACAATCGTTGATAAGTGATATTGTGAAACAAAGAAATGTGGAGGACTTTTGTCAATCCTAGGTGAAAATTGGAATTAAAATGGCACTGTTGCCAATTTTATTTAAGTTTCTCTTAACATTCCATTATAACATAAGTTTCAAATAAGGATACTTCCAATAATTATTGTCTGATTTTAAAACGTAATCCAAGTGAATTTATGGCATACAATGAATGGCTCAGCATCAGTGTTGCTTTCAAAATCTAAAAAATTCTACCTTGCCTTGGTTGTCAATTTTACTTTTTTTTAGGCAGAATGCAAAAACGAACATAAACTATGGAAACGCTCCAGTTTTTTGGGTACAAATAAATCTTGACACAGACAATACATTCATTGTTCCTTAAAGAATAGAATATCTTCGACTTAAGAATTACAAATGATGAGAAAATTAAATAAAAAAAATAAATTAAATAAATAAATCTATAGAAAAAGAAATTAAAAGAATAAAATACTTAAAATTATTAAAATATTGTTGCATGGATCTGTCAAAAATTATTATTTCGGCATAGCTACTAACTATTTTTTCATTAATAAGTTGTTAAAGTTCCATTTTTGTTGAGGGTTGTCCCCATAGTATTAAGACCTCTGTGTCACAGTGACAGCATTCCGAAGAGAATAGGACCAGGCTATTGTCATGTTTCATACTTTTATTTCAAAATGGATTTAAGCATTCACATTATGATCTCGGCACTGGATGTAAATTCTTGGTAGCATTCACTGACCCCTCCATTCTGATAAAAAATACATCCATCTCCCAGTGAAATATATCTGGAAAAAAGTTGCATTTTCTCAATACGCAACGGTGCAGTGTCTTGGCAGTGCCAATCATAACAAGCTCGTCTATGTATAGAGCATGTTGAAAACATATCTTTGATCCAGATGCCTCAAAATAATTAAGATAATTGGATAAAAGTAAAAAATCGGCAACATGTTGAGGTACTTGCTATATATTTGAAGGCAAGACTATACTCACGTATCAATCGAAAAAAACATTTTCACGGATATTCATAAATAAAGATAAAAAAATCACAAAAGACTAAACAAATTACCAAAAAAAATTAAACAAAATAAAAAAAAGTAAAAAAATTAAATTAGAAGCATCTTTATTTTAAAATCATTTTATTATTTTTTGTTTGAAAAGAATTATGAATAAACTTGGCAGCAGTATTTTTTCCAAAACCAATCGTTACCTGGGACTGACATCAGCCCTTGATATTTTGCCTTGATACGAGTTAAGATACCCATTGAAGTCGTGTTCAACAAGAAAAAATCATAATCCATACAGAGTTCAAAGTTTTAAGCATGGCAACGCTGTATCACCACCGGTCAAAGAATTCCTCTTCAAATACAAACATTCATCTACAGATGACATAAATGGTTGATTTCCTGCCTCAAATCGTGATTAAATTCTACGAAAGTAGCTTCTTAAACACAGAACTCAAAAATATAGACATTTTTAAAGCTCAAATATATAAACTTTGCAACCCTGTATCATTAAAACTATACTTGCATTTTGAGTTAAATTTTAACAAAAGCCTTAATCTATCATAAAATTGCATCTAAACCCCAAAAGCATATCTTTTAGCGGTCACTAAGTTCGTTTTTAAGTTAAGAAACTTGATAAAATGAACATTTTTTATAGGTTTTTATGTCAACTTTGTAACGTTGTTTTAACAGAATTAGTAGTATAAATGTTTCAATTGAAATATGCATTCGATAATAATACTAACATTTGATAAAATGTCACAAAATGTCATAAAACATCCAATTGAATCGTTCTGAGAAAATTAGATACCTGAGAATATGAGAATTTTAAAGCTCAAATATGCCAACTTTGCAACGCTGTATCTCGGAAACTAGACGTATACTCAAGCTAAAATTTTTACTGGAGGCTTACCTCATCATAAGGTTTCATTTAAGCCACAAACGAACGAAATCCCCGGGTTCCCGAAAAGGGGCCAAAAAAAGCCCTTTTTTAGGGAGGCTCTTTTCACGGGCGTTTTCCTTATTTTCTTCTGGAAGGTGTCCAGGAACAACAGAGGATAGCCCAAGGGTTGCACTGAAGTGCATTTTAATGGCATCAGCGATCCTGCAAGAGACTAGGCTGGGATCCTGTTGAATGTGGCTGATTGATGCGCTCAAATAAGAGCCAATCAGTATTCTGCCGTGCTGAGGAAGAACGCTGTATGAGCCTTCAGGCATTGCCTAATTTCCTTTGATAAATTTCGAACTTCCGGGAATATTTATAAAAAATTATTTTTTCAATTTTTCAGGGAATTTCCCATGTTATTTGATCTAAATAGTCTTAAAATTTCAAAGAAAAATATCGATAACTTTGCTCAAAAATAATCATTTAATCGGAGGCAATTTGGCAACTCTTGAATGTTCATACGGCGTTTTTCCTTAGTACGGCAGTATTAGTCTCTGAACAAGACCCCAGCTAGGCATCTTTAATGCAGCTCCCTCAGCTGACCATTCTCATGGCTCAGTCCTTCACTGAGATTCATTAGACTTCATGGGAGCTCCAATTCTAATTTATGGTTTTTTCCACCTTTGATTTCCCCTTATGTTGGTGCGGACACGGTGCAATATTCTGTTACTTGTAATATTAGAGCCATACTTATTGTTAGTGTTTTTTTCCTTCCATATGTATAAATTTACTGCCATGTTACAGTATCTAACTAAAATCCTGCTCATTGAATGTGTTTTAATTGAAAGTTTTAGAGGTGATAGAATTTTTAGTACGAGGGTCTTCAATATAAGTTACTTATCGATGTCTATCTTCGCCAAAAACTGAATTATGTGAGCAGATATTTGATATGCAAGACTGGAATTGCTATAAAAGCAGCCTTGTTCTATTATTATTTTTAATTATGTAGTGATGCAGTTAGTTGATAGATAGATTGAAATATAGGGCAATGGAGCAAGTTATAATCTTACTGGGGCGGTACATTATGACTGCTAGGTTGAATTCTTCTGCGTTTTGCACTGCTAGAATTGGTATAGGATCGTTTAAGGGTGTTATGACTCAGTAGACTTCCAGCCACAATACTGTATTCGTGAACCTAAAAGTAAAGAGACAGATGAGATATTTAGAACTTATGAATGATATAAACCCAAACATTTAACAGGCATTATAATTTGAGAGCTGGAAAGTTATCAGGCAGAAATTTCCTATTTCCTATGAAAATTGGCCAGATGGGCGACTTACTTTCCTGAGGATGAGCTGATTCATTTGCCTTGATCATATTAGGTTTTCGCAGATTTAATTTATTTTTTTCAGTTAAAGGTTCCCTTGTGAATCCAGCTAGAAATGTGACGGTTACTTCATCCTGGAATTTTAAAAAGCTCTCAAAATTTAGATAATTGAAGTCTCTGCTCAGGAAGGCCACAAGTGCATATATATTTTAAGTTTTCTAAGGGTATATTTGTTCAAATCTTTACGCATATCATATTTATAGTACTATTTCCATCTTAAAAACGAAGCGATTTTGGGCAGATTCTTAGATAGAAATTGTAGAAGCATTCATTTATTTTTTAAATTTTTTTAGGTAGTTTTAATTTGTTGAATATTCGCTATACAAGACAAGCAGCAGATAATACTTGTCAATGTTTCAGCAAATTTAGTGTTGCTCTGCTTTTGAATGCTCGCAACTTCAAAAGCTCATGAATAAATTTGTTCAAGTTTTCTACAAATGGGTTTTTTCCTCCCTTTACAGAAATTTGAAGTGCTTTCTACAATGAATACTTTGGGTTTCAAGCATACACAAAGGCAACAAAAGTTTGAAAAAAACAGAATCTTTTGAAGCATTTCCTAATACCTCCACTAAGCATGATGCACTTGCGTGAATAAAGGAAGAAAATGGGAAAGTTCAATGAAAAAATACTTACTTTATCAGTCCATTTAAAACTTTGTACCAGCTGCTTGTACAAGGCTTGTTTATCCTGAGTGCTTTCTTGACACAGCGATGCAGTATTTCCCAACGTAAATGGACCAGGTGGTGGAACTAGGTTATTCGTTGCCTGTTCTAAGTCCCTAAAATGCAAAAATTAAAATTATTGACTCATCAAGGACAAAGGATTATATGGAAAGTATTTTTACACTGTGACTGTCCGTAAGTATTTTAGGTCTTGGAGTTTTTCAAGGGGAGCACTTCTTACGGAGCTGGGTTGAAAATTTGTAAAAGTGTTGTTAGGTAAGTTGGTAATACTTTACATTCTGCTTGCAAGCAATTGGAATGCAATTGACCAGTAGCCTTCGGAATTGACTACAACAGTGATCTGACCGCAGTCAATTCTTGAGCATTATTCTAATCCCTTGCAAGCGGGATATAAACAAGTGCCAACTTAGCTGAAGACACCTCTAAGAGCATTTTCATCCATCAATTCTTTCGTGCATTTTATGAATTGCAAGTTTGGGCCCTGAATACAGCATGCCTATTAAAAAATTAAATTTTTTTTTAGCAGGGGCACCATATTAACTATATTAGGAGGAGAGGACCCCAATGGGCCAGTTCCAAACTTTTGCTATGGTAAAAATAAGGGTTGTTCCTTAAAAAAAATGGCTCAAAAATCACGATGAGTGCATCAACAAAGTCTGAAATGCACTCCTAACTTCACAATCTGTGTAAGAAATTCATGCTTTTTTCAGCTTCCTGCTTCAAAAATGATACTACAACACAGGTGAACATTTTGTTAGAGAAGTCATCCCTTCCAACCTCTGCGTAGTAGGTTACTGCCCACTATTCAACATGGCCGACGCCGATCCACCAAAACTGGCCAAAACTCATGTGCCAGGGCGAAATTCGAACCATTTGCTAACAACCTAGCGTGTTTACATTCTCGTTGTCATCGCATTGATAAAGACCCGTCTTGATGGCAACGATTAAGTTGAGTTTTGCAAAACATTCTAGTATGCAAGGGTTGAAGGGAACGACTCCTCTAACGAAATGCTCACCAGTGCCATGGTATCGTTCTTGGAGCGGGAAGCTCAAAAAAGCACACATCCCGTATGCAAATTGTGAAGTTAGGAGTGGATTCCAGACTTTACCGATGCGCTCATCGTGAATTTTAACACATTTTCTATAAGAACCAACTCTTATTCATGCTCTAGCAATAGTTTGCAACAGGTCCATTGGCACCTTCACTATTAAAAAAACTACATTTAAAAAATTGCGAGCTTGGACTTTCCATGCTCTAGTTAAGTAGAACATTTTTAACCGTCTACTTTTTTCTCTTCAATTTCTTAAGCTAAATTATGTTAGTAGAAGATGTTTAAACATTAACATAAATATTAATTATAGCTTCATACGCGAAGTTAGTATGTTTGATTTTGAAATCATTGGTGAATGCATCAGAGTTTTCGCAGGTTTCAAGAAAAAATTTGAAAAAAGAGGCAGATACATACCTGTAAAATCTATTAATTCTGTTTATGTGGTCCTGTATTTCTTGAGCAAACTTTGCCTCATTTCCTTCAGCATGCTCTGCACGTATTCCATTTGAAAGGAGCTTGTGCAAGTCTCCCATACTTGTGCGGAGTTTCTTAACTGAGTTGAGAGCCATATACAATGGCTCTGTCGGCACAACCATAGCCATTCCAGACATTTTTACAAAATACGAGAATAAATTTGCAGTTTCAGCACTTTGGATTTGAAGGACCAGTCTCGATAGATAAAATGAAGGTGTCCTATAACCTTCACTTGACCAATCCGGAGGGTTACTCTGTATTACTTAATACAAGTTAGTTAGATTTATCAAGGCCGAGAAGGTTTTCAAGGAAATGAGCGAATCTCTCTGGTTTGCCGCATTCATAGGTTACCAGCTTAGTTAAATCTGAAGTTTCAAGGGTGAATGCTAACGTGTTTGGAGTACAGTAATACAAATGACCACTTTCGTACAATTTTTCAGCTAATTCAACTTGATGGTTGCCCATCAAATTCTCGTTAACAACCACTATCAGGGGTTTCTTGGCTTCTAGTACTTCCAGGCAACTACCGGCGCCAGCATGACTTATAACAAGATCGGAGTTACTGATGTCTTCTTTGAGATTGTTTTTGAATCTGAAGAATTCAACTTTTATGCCTGGGAAAGCTACAGATTTTGGCTCGTAAGAACCATTGCCAATCTGTAATACAACCTTACTGTATCCTTTGCTTTTTAGTGTTGACAGCACAGACGAAGAGCAAACTTGCTGGATCAAACTGTCGAATCTGGTTGTGCCTACTGTTATAAAAACCTGTTTGTTAGTGTTACTCCTGGTCATTGTGCTGCAAATAGGGTGGAGTTTGGAATAATTAAATGGTTCATTTTATTTGAAACACAAACTAGACACAAAACAACTGGAGTAGCTACTCTCCTCCTTGATCTAAACGAAGAAAAACACAAATTAGAATTCACGGAGCCTCCACTAGTCAAATCAGGACACGCTAGTAAACTTGTAAAGTCAAGCAAATTTCTAAGAGAAAACACCTTTTAACACTTATCACACGTAAGAGATAGTTCTGAGAAAATTGAAAAACTGCAATTCCACAGAATTCCACGAAGAAGAGGCTGGGTGGGAGGGAGGGGAGTGAATGCAGAGGTTAGGATCATCGATGAATGATGAACGCCAAAAAAAACATCAACATTGCGGAGTGGTGACAGGTGAGGGTGTTAGGACAGGGGGCACGAAGGGAGCTTTCACTTTTTTTCAATTTTCTGAATTTCTGCCCCTAACTTTTTTTGGAATTTTCTGAAAAATCCCATGGTCTTCCGTAAAGTGCATTCACACTGTGTTTTTCCAGAGGACATTTCATCCTGTCATGAGCTAATTGCTCGCTCATCTGTCAGGAGCCAAATTCTAGTCTTCAAGGATGACATCAAGGAGGTAAATAGAGTTTTATGTCTTGTAGGTTATCTTCTTCACAAGGGAATATCAGCGCTGATTAAATTTAGGAAAAACTATGTTTTCTCGTCAATTTAGCGCAACATTGGTAGTTTTATTTGAGTGTTTTGTGAGCCATCCTGTAGAATTTTCTTTTGCACCTGATACATGAAAAATCCAGCATGAAGTCGCGGAGACCAGTTTTGACCCTAATGCGTATAATACTTACAGTCCAATTATTTTAGCAGCGAAATCAACGGGTGGCAACCTCTTGAAAAATCTGCATCCCGGACTGTATCATGATTCAGTTAGATTCCTTTAATGTTGAGTTCATGCACCTTAGAAGCACTATTCATTAGGGTAATAATTTTACAGTATTTTGCAGTAAACATCACCGAGTTTATGGTCTCAAGTTTAGGCAATGGATTTTCTTTTAGTTAATGGCCATAATTGCTGCTATCGTACTTTGTGAGGCTCAATTACTATTTCCTATTTTGTAATGGTTCACCTGCTGAAGCTTCTAATGGTAAGTGAGCTTAAGTGGGTAACAGAAAGCTCAATTTTTAGCCACCTAAGTTCAGTATAAAAACTTATTTATCTGCCCCTAAGAATGGGGCCCATAGGGTATGTAAACGAAAGAAAGTCAGTTGAAGAAATAACATCAAATAGGCAGGTTGCACAAGCAGAAGACGCATTGTTAAAGTTTAATATTGAAGTCAGCGAAATGATGTCAGTCCGCCATTTTTAGTTATTTGCGTAGCAATGATGCAAATTTGTTAGTAAACAAAGGCCGCCATCTTCTCAGCGAAACTGGTAAGCGTCCTGGGAACCAGGCTGAGCGCTGAGCGATTTTGCTGAGAAGATGGCGGCCTTTGTTTACCTCAGCGGATAACTCAGAAAACGTTTAACAACACTTCGGCTGAGCTCAGCCACTCAGCGGATAACTCAGCGGTTGCACTTCTGACTTTAACAACGCGTTTAGAGTGAACTATTGTTACACTGGATTTCTTTGATGAGGACATATGATGAGAACCATCTGTGAAATTAAATTTTTACATTCCAAAAAAGTCATCCGTCAGATGATTTTTCCTAACACTACTGCTGTGCTCATTTTTTCAAAATTTGTTTTTCCAATTTGAAGAAGAATTTTAGAAAATTTGTATTTGGTACCTCCCTGAAGAATATCCAAGAATCTTGCGTCAGGAAGATTATGAATATTTTTCCTTGAAATTTTCAGGCTTTACAGATAAAATTACAAACGAAATCCTCCAATAAATTTGGAGGAGGTATATTCTCAAATTTTCCTGTAAATTTGTCGTTTGTCGAAGGAATTTGGCAACTCTTGATGGCTCTTATGAGGCTGCAATTTTGCAAGTTGGCAACACTGTTGTTTCTCCAGTTAAATCCTTAAAAAATACCGAATTCAGGTGAGGCAAGCTGCCCCGCCAAGAATCAATTGTTTTCTACACATTTAAATGTAGGGGAAGCAGTGTTGTCAACTTTCAAGAATTGCCACTGCTCATATAGCGGCGATCTTGCTTAGCTCGGCAGCATTAAGATTGGATCCTTGAATGCGTCTTCTTTCTCGAGTGTTGGTTTCTGGTGTTTCTTTTTTGTTTGTTTTTCTCCAAATTTTGGCGCTTTTTATTACTTGATTATTATGTTTCAGGTGGTTTCATCCTCATGTTTCTGGTGTTGAGGCGGAGGTGCTGCTCTTAGAAAGAGGTTTCGATGGCTCCTTCCTGGCCCGTCCAAGTCGCAGCAACCCAGGAGATTTCACCCTCTCCGTCAGGTAATTGATCCATGATAAACTCCGAGGACAGTGGTGTGGCATGCTTCGCGTTTTATCCATTGGTCTGTCATTTAAATCTATGGAAAAGGATCGATGAACAGGGTGTTCGCAATGAACACCTTAACGATCAAGTCTTTACCATAGCTTCAAATGGAGAGATATCGATAATCGATCATTTACCTCTCGCCACTAGTCGAGGAAAACGCGGCTTGATTAAGGAGTTTCACAATATTTACCAAATTCACTGACAAATACTGCGGCACCAAGAGCCTGTGTCAACCAATCATAGCACTTGACCTAGACATATTTTGATGGTGTGACACAGGACAAGGAAAAACGCCTATGAGCATTCAAGAGTTGCCAAATTCGATCCGATGAAGAGTTCAATTATGGGGAAAGTTGGGAATATTTTTTTTTAAATTTTCAGATAATTACATTAAAGGGTGAATAAAATTCCTATTTTCTGTGGACGGCATCCACCTCCAAGGTGTCTAATAGGCCGGAATTTCCAGAAATGGCACTGATTTTTTAAGGGCGGTCCGAAAGTACTGAAAAAGTGGGGAAATTCTGCAAGAAGGTCCGGAATTTTTCCCTTCATACCATGGGTGTTTTTTAATGAAGCTTGGAAAGTATTCAATCCCCTGTGCATTGATCATTAGAATAGAATTTGTCTGCAAGATCGTGATTGTGCAGTCCGTCAATCGTCTAGCCACCAATGAAATTTTGTTTACGTCTCTCAAATTTTCGAAAATTTTCGAATTTCGTTAAATGGAGGTACTGAAAAAGTACTGAATTTTTCTACCTAGAAACCTAACTGGAAAATTACTGTAAAAGTGCTGATTTTTGGCCAGCCTGTTTTAGTAGGCACCCTGACCGCTGTCCATATCTGCAAATCACAACTGCATTACGGCTTTCGCCAAATCGGATTTTGTCAACCGTTAAACGCAATCAGCACCCTTCTAATGGATCATGTTTTGCAATTAGGAATTAAACATTTTAGCCCATCTGTACAAATGCTCATATGCATAGGAAAACCAATGTTACTAAAGGTGTTCTTTAACTGAGTCAGAAATTGTTGTTCCGAATTGTGAAATGTGGTTCTGATGGATGTGTGTTTCTTTGATCGCAGGCGGAATGGTGAAGTGACTCACATCAAAATCCAAAACTCGGGTGACTTCTATGATCTCTACGGGGGTGAAAAATTCGCCACCCTCTCGGAACTGGTGCAGTACTACATGGAAAACCAAGGGCAGTTGAGGGAGAAAAACGGGGAAGTGATTGAGCTCAAACTGCCCCTCAACTGTGCGGATCCAACCTCGCAAAGGTAAGCTAATTTTCCATGAATTGTTTCGGTGGTGGTGTGCTTGATATCAAGTAACTTGACAGCGGCGAATCTTCAGTAGGAATTAGCAGACATCGAGATACTGAACACCTTTTGGTAAAATATTCATGTCATTTTAAAGATTTTACATCAGGCGGAGCCATTAGGCCTAGAATAAAATTTTAATTCATTTTTTTTTAAAATTTGAAAAAATCTCTCCTGTAAAACCTGAATTAAAGCTTCAAGTATCCTAACGCCGAATAGAAAATACTAATTTTTTTTTCCTTTTCATAGGAGGAAGAGCTGAAGTGTGCCTTTAGGCATAATGAATCCGTTCTTCCCAAATTTTTAAAGTGAAACCAGTATTATAACACAATTTATGGTCGTTACAGTTGTTGTTGGTGTCGTTTTAAAAAAAAAAAGTAAAATTTAGTATTAGTTTACCTTGATTTTAACGCTGATGTGTTGGTGTAATGTCAATGGTAATGTGTTTTGTCACATCAAGCCAGGTATTTTTGAAAAATATTCACGTTTCATACGTTTCTCAATAAGTGGATGGTGGTTTTGATGCTGTGGATGGTAATTTTCAGAGCTTACCATGAAACATTATTGAATTAGGATTTTTAAGTGACAACATATTCTTGTAAGTGAAAGATAATAAATGTATGAAAGAAATGAACAAATAGAAGAGAGAGAAGAAGAAGAAGAAGAAGAAATGAGAGTATCAAATGATTCAGAGCAAAAATATATCAATGTTTGCCTAAAATTGGATGATCCTCATGCTCAACATTATATTCATGGGTGCCGGAGAGTATAAGAGAAACGGAAATATATATCAGGAATGAGTATACTGAGTAATTTCTTGTGGTCTTGCACTGAGCCGGTTGATTCGTTGTTCTTCGCCAACTCCTTCTTCCGTGGATTGCGAGTTGGATCGCCGTGCCGGTATTATTTGCCTTCATTTTAGAATGTAGGCAATTATAACTACAGCTCTATTGAATAAGTCGTATACTCGACGTATTTCAGGATTTTGTGAGCGCTCATGCCTGCGAGTTCAACAGAGCTGGAGATAGCAAAAAAAATCACCGCTGAGAGTTGTCTCTATCTACCTATCTATCTATTTGTCACTCTTTTTCTGTCTATCCATCGCTATCTATATGTTTGAGTGCTCAAACCTCCTTTATTATTATTTATTTGTCAAAGTTCGTTTTGCTGTTCTACCGGACCGATTTCCATGATTTTTTCGGCTATCGACGGACAATAATCCCGCTGCGTTCATTTTGGAAGCATGACCCTGGTTTTTAAAAAAAAAAAAAAAAAAAAAAAAAAAAAAAA